AAAAAAAAGTCATTCATGAATATCTATCAACAAATGAATGAATGAAGCAAGCCTAGTGACAAACATACTTGTTTACGTATCTGCTTGTTTCCGTATCTGCTGATATGAAAAGAGTAAGAATTCATCCTTCAGAGATGCTTGTGGACTTTGTGGCTCTTGGGACAGTGTCGGGTCACCAGCCTAGAGACTGAGTAGGCACAGGAAGAAGAGGCCATAGCCCCAACCCCATAGTTTAAGTCCTTTATCTCAAGACAGGCAACAAACACCCTATACCTGGGGGAAAAGCCTGAGTTGCACTCTGATCCTGAAAATGAGTGTCACTACGGACCAGTTTCAACAGTATCTAAGGTTCCATTATCAAGCAAGCAGAGAAGGTTTAATGGAGTTGATATTCCCCTTTAGGGGCCCTGAGCTGCGAGAAGGCGAGAAAATCCAGGGGCACCTGGGGATAATGGGAATGGAGAGGGTGACCCTGTCTGGGTCATTAGCACACACGGGTAGGTCGGCTTAGCCTCCTCATGGGACAGTCACTGACCTTTCCAAAGGGGCTTCCCAGGGGCGGCGGCTGGAGGGGTGAGAGCGGTGGCCCAGTCCCCGCACCCAGCAAATCTCCCTGTCAGCCGCCTCTGCATTAAGGGGCGCAGAGTAAGCAAGGGAGACCACGAGGTCGCCATCTTGAGCTCCGTACAAGGGAAAGAAGAGGAAAACTTTATTGAAACCCAGAGGAGAGACGGACGTACAAACAAATCCAACCTTGCTCGCATAAGGTTCCGCCCGAAAGAATGAAAGGGAGGAACTACAGAACGTGACCTTCTGGAGGGAAAGGGGCGGGCTGGACGCCTAAGCCCTTCAGTCCTTCCGCGCGCTTCTGGGAGACTACAACTCCCAGAGGCCAGTGCGCTGCACCCGGGGACGGGGCCAGGGACAGAGCGGATAAGTCGGTTAAGGGTGGTATTTCTCCACTAGTCCAAAATTTGTGAGCACCCACAGACGCTTTCAAAGGCTTCGTAAGTGAATGTGAAGTGTGGTCACCTATATGCTCCTGAGCCTTCTAAAAGAGTCTCCTTAGCCAAGATTTAGTAAATAAGCTAGTGGCCTTTTGGTAAGGAAAACACTGCCATCCCAAAGTCACAAGTTTCCGCTCCCCCAAAGGCTAAGCAGAGACAGATGGGCAATCGCCTCCTGTGCTATTTATTACTTCTGAAAATCAGCTTGAGGACTGGCTATGAGTCCATTACAACTCTATGGTTGTTATTGTTAAGTGCCATAGAGTTGAATATAACTCGAAGCAACCCTATGAACAAGAGATCTTATGCTACCCGCATCATCTCCCCACCCTGGGGCGGGGCCAGAGACAGAGACCACTAACTCCATGCAGGGTTAAGGGTTGTACTGATTCCTTTGACAATTGTGTCAATCTATCTAGTTTAGAGTCTTCCTTTCTTTCACAGTCCCTCCTTTTTTCCAAGCACGATGTCCCTCTCCAACGAATAGCCTCTCTGAGCCCAAAGTGAGACAAACCTCCATCTTTGTTTCCAAGGTGCTCTCTGACACACTTTCCCCAAGACATTATCTGTTATTTTGACAGTCCACAGAGGATTCAGCTCAAAGGCATCAATTCTTCCACCATTCTTATTCATTGTCCTGCTTTCTAATGCATAGCAACTGACTGAAAAGACATGGCCCACCTTCCCCTTCAAACTAAACGTCAATGTTCCCTAGTAAGTTGGAGAGGTCCTTGACAACAGACTTGCCTAATGCAATGTTGTTGTTGTTGTTATGTACGGTTGAGTTGGAACCGACCCATAGCTGACTTTCCCTTGGGTTTTCAAAGACAGTACACTGCCTTGGAGAAGATGAGCTGGAGGATTTGAACCACGACACTTCTGTATTGCAGTCCAGCTTCTTACGACTAGGTCACCAGTGCTCCCTGCTCAATTCATTAAGTATCCCGGATCCTAGTAAGATTAAATAATTAACAATGTCAATCTTTTCTCCATCATGATGCTTCTTATTGGTCCAATTAGAGATTATAAATTTGAAAAAGATTCTCACCAATTGACAGCACCGTGATACATGGAGAAGAGATTGAAGTTGTTAACAATTACAGCTCCCTCAGCTCCACAATCAACACTCTTGGTACCAACAGTCAGGAAATCAAAAGATGAATGAATGTATTACAGAAATCTGTTGTCAGGGCCTCTCCAAAGTGCTAAAGAGCAATGATGTGTTGGTCTAGAGACTAAGGTACACCTAATCCAGGATACAGTCTTCATAATTACTTGCTGTGCATCAGAGAGCTGGACAGTGACTAAGGATGAAAGAACTGACGCCTTTGAATTTTGGTGCTGGAGAAGAGTATTGAACATACAATAGACCACCAGGAAAACAAATTAGGTCTGTCTTGGAGAGGGTGAAACCAAGTCTCTCCTTGGAGGCAAAGATTTTGAAGCTCCATCTCACTTACTTTGGCCATGTAGCCAGGAGAGACCAGTCCTCAGAGAAGATTATCATGCTTGGAACGGTGGAGGAGAAGAAGACCCCAGATGAAATGGATTAACTCAATAAACAGGACAATGAATTAGGTGTGTCGGAGTCAGTGAGACTGTCTCAGTATCGAGCAGAGTTCAGAGCTATTGTACATAGGGTGACTATAAGTTACAGATTACTAAACAGCACATCACAACAACAACAAATTTGAAAAAAGGCTTTGGTTCTATAGGAAGGTGGTATAGAACTGAGAGAAAGACAGATGTAGGCCAAGTCTAGAAGCATAATCTCCGATGTGAAAGAAATGCTACCCAATTGTGATTTGGGTAAATGTACAAATAAAGCAGTGCTTGTTCTACTTATTATTCTACAGACACTGACAAAACTCAAAATATCCAATAAAGAACAAATAAGACAATGAAGGGAATGGGGTAGAGAGTAACCAATGAATAAGACAAAAAAGCCAAGGTCAGAAGATGCATATCTGAGGCCTGGTTTTGTCAATAATTGAACCTCTCTTTTTGTGTTTCCCTTGTCTATAAAATTAGGATGGTATCTGTCTCATAGAAATTTTATTAGAGTAAAGGGCTTAATGCTTGAAAAGATGCAGGGTCAGCAAAAGAAAGGAACATCCTCAACTAGAGGGATTGGCATAGTGACTGTAACATTGGGCTCAAGTATAGCAGAGACGATGCGGATGACACAGGGTAGGGCAAAACTCATTATTAATGGAGTCACTATGAATCTTAGTCAACTTGACGACACCAAACAATAACAGCAAGTATGTATCAATATAAAAAAATAGCACACAATTTGTATATATACAAAGTTGAATCAAAGCCACTTAAGAATATACATTTAAAGAGAAAAAAATAAAAGAAGTTATGGTGGATTAGTGGTAAAGAACTATGCTCCTAACCCAAAGGTAAAAGGTTCAAATCCACCAGCAGCTCTGTAGAAGAAAGATGGGCAATTTCTTCCTGTGCAATTTATAATCCACTAGAGAATCAACTATGAGAAAGTTCCAACTTCATGGTGTTTAACAACAACGAAAATGTCTAGGACAATATAGAAGTAAGATATGTGAGAGTTGCAAAACTAAAAAGTGTAACGTTGTTGTTGTTATGTGCCATCAAGTCACTTGTGACTCATGGCAACTTGATGTACAGCAGCTCTGAAGCCCTCCCTGTCCTGAGCCAGTCTCACTGACTCCAATATACCTACCTCAATTGCCCCAGTTACAATATCAATCCATCAGTTCTTTGAACTGCACTGTCCCGCCATTATTCCAAGCATGTTGTCCTCCTCCAAGGAGCATGTCTAAAGTATGTAAGATGGAGCCTCAAAACACTAGCCTCAAATGAGAAATTTGGTTTCACTCTTTCCAAGATAGACCTATTTGTTTTCTTGGCAGTCCAAGGTATGTTCATAACTCTTCTCTGGCACCACAATTCAAAGGCATCAGTTCTTCTTCTGTCATCATTAGTAATTATACAGCTGTCTGATGCACAGGAAGTAATTGCGAAAGACCACAGAGTGGATCAGGTGCACCTTAGTCTCTAGACTGACATCGTTGATTTTCAGTACTCTGGAGAGATCCTGATAGCAGATTTACCAAGTGCACTTCGTCTTTTGATTTCCTGACTCCTGGTGCCAGAAGTGATGACTGTAGAGCCAAGCAAGCTGTAGCTCTTAACAACTTCAATCTCTTCTCTATACATCATGGTGCTGCTAATTGCTCCAGTGTAACATACTGCTAAAAAAAAAAAAAAAAAGTAGGGAGACACTTCCATAATTCAAATTTCTACAAAGTAATAGGCCCATAGGGTAAACAACAATACCAGTGACATCCAGCATTCCTTAAGCCAAACAACCAAGCAAGATCAGAAGAAGAGGAAATCTCAGGCACAAAACTTAAAAGGGAGGAAGGGATAGGAAAAAAGGGCTCATGGAAAGAGTAATCACAATGAGAAAGTGAGAAGACAGTTGTTATATTGTAGAAATGGACATCAATGTTACAAAACAAAATAAGTGTTAGTTTTTCATGTAAAACCAATTATCTCTAAAAATATTCACCCAAATCATAATAAAAAGGGGTTTTTCCCCCCAAAGGTAGGGAGAAATTATAAATTATAAATTAAAAATTAAACTGATTAATAAGATGTTGTTGTTCTTGTTCTTGTTGATAGGTATCATCAAGTCAAGTATGAATCACAGCAACCCTATGAACAAATTATTTAAATCCAGTCATGTCCTGTGCCATCCTGACACACAAGAGCCCATGGCAGCAGTCACTGTGTCAATCTACCTGGTTGAAGGTCTTCCCGCCCTTCACTGACACTCCACCCTTCCCAACATCATGTCCTTCTCCAAGGAATAGCACCTCCTAGCAATATGTCCAAAGCATGTGAGGAGAAGCCTCATCATTCTTGCCTCCAAAGAGTACTCTGGATGCACCATCTCCAAAACATATCTGTTCATTCTCTTGGCCATCCATGGAATGTTTGGTGCCCTTCTCCAATACCTCGGCTCAAAGGCGTCAATTCTTTTTCTGTCAACCTTATTCATTGTCCAGCTCTTGGTTGCATAGCTAGTAATCAGAAAACTATGGCCTAAATCAGATGCACCTTAGTCCTCAAACTGACATCACTACTCCTCAATAAATTGGAAAGTTCCCTAACTGCAGATTTTCCCAGTATAATGTGTCTCCTTATTTCCTGACTGCTCATACCTAGGGTGTAAATTGTGGATCCAAGTAAGATGAAGCTGTTGATAGTTTCAACTTCCTCTTCATCCATCATGACACTGATTATTGGTGCTATGGTAAGAATCTTTGTTTCTTGATATTGAAACACAATCCATACTGAAGGCTGCATTCCTTGATTTTCCGCAACTAGTGCTTCAAGTCCTCCTCACTTTCAGCAAGTAAGATTGTGTAATTTGCATAGTGCAGGATATTGATGACTCTCTCTCCAATCCTGATGCCACATTCCTCTTCATAGAGTCCGATTTCTCAGATAATTTGTTCAGCATACAGATTGAGCAGGTATGGAGAGAAAATCCAATCCTGACACACTCCCCAATTCCAAACCACGAAGTGCTCCTCTACTCTGTTACACAACAGCCTCCTGGTTCAGGTATAGGTTCTGCATGAGCACCATCAAGTGCCCTGGGATTTCCATTCTTCTCAATGTGAATCACAACTTGTCATGATCCACACAGTAAAACGTCATTTCATAGTCAATAAAGCACAACTAGACATTCTTCTAGTATTCCTTACTTTCAGCCAGCATACCTCTGACATCAGCAATGATATCCCTGGTGCTATGGCCTCTTCTAAATCCCGCTTGAACATCTGCCAGTTC